GGTTGAATATGTAAACCAGCATTATATCCTACCTCTCTTTTATACAGTGAATTTTGAAATTTGCTTCATTACGTGTTGATTTATTAATGTTTAAAAATAACAAAACCTTACAAAATGGGAAAGCAACTAGACTAACAGTGACCTTCTAATGGCAAAAAGTCTTACTTCACGTCTGAACCAAAACCGAAATCATGCAGTGCCGAATTTTAATTATAAGGATGAGTGCGCTACGTTAATTTCCGTTATTCTGAAACAACAATTAGTCGAGAATTAATGAAGCAAATTTAAATTTTTTTACACGGTTGAATAGAGAATAAAACCCTCTTTCAAATGAGCTATCACTCACCACCCCATGCCATTTAAATTTTTCGAAAGAATTGCTCCTTTCCAGTAAGGGATGAAATTAAGGGTAAACTATTCATACAAAAATGTACATTGTAGAAATCAAAAATCGACGTGTCTCGGCGATTTTCCTAACAAGACTCCAGTAATGAGTTAGATAGGGGGGGTAAGACTTATGGTGCTCACTGTTTAATAAAAAAGTGCTTTGTATAAGAACATTATATTATCTGTCTTGCTGCACATTTATTTATGGAAAGCCTTAATTGAGATACACTACAAATTATTTGCAACAAATATCAAAAGAAGCATACATTTTTAAATAATTTTACATTTAAGAGCCATTCCCACATCATAGTTGACATCTTGATACCTGACAGGCACAACCAAGCATTATTCTGATTTTGGCCAAATAAAATGGCCGGTTAATTATTGGGGTTGCCAATAAATTTGATGAATGTGTTTTTGTGGCTAGGGGCGAAATAGTAGTACGCTTAAGTTAGCACCCCCATAAAAAAGTAATTTTTAAGAAACTGCTTATATATTTTTCATAATTGGTAGGCTTGGCGACTAATTTTGAATAAAAATAGCCTCCAAAATGGGGCTATATTTGCAAATATGAAGGTCGCAACCCGCCTTAGAAATTTCACTTTTACTATCAACAGCTGTTGTTTGACAGGTCGTTAGAGAATGTTTGCAATTTATGAAATGTAAAGAATGTTAGGGATGTTGACGTTAGAAATAATTGGAATTCCTAAAATTGTCACATAAGAAATGCATAAGCGGATTTTAAGAAAAGTGATATTAAAGTAGTTAGAATGAACCGAAAATTCTGAAAATCAATAGGGTTCTAAGTTAGAAAGATTTATTCAAGAAGATCAAAACTGCAAGTCAATTAGAACTTTCGTTCTAGAGTTATTGTGCCGGCATACATATACACAGACGACCAGACGAAATTTTTTTTTTGCATTTTCGGACTCAGAATGATCGGAAACATAAAAAAAAGTTTTAAAATTGGGGGTAAGAAAATGTTTTCGTCTGCACGAATGCAATACTGAGGCCCCATAGGAAGGGCCTCAGTAATTATTTAAAAATGAAATAAATTATTTTATCAAAACAACTAAAGAAATCACATTGGAATAAAAAAACAATAAAAATCATAGAATTTGAGGGTGTGCTTTGGCGTTAAACGTGTTAAGTTTTTAGGATGTAATAAGGTGCACAATTCAAAAATGTATTTATATACTTGCTGGATGTTACAAGAATAGCAATTTTCTTGTAGAAATGGTATACTGTGACGTAACAACTGGATGTCACAAGATGCAAGGTTTTTCTGGATGTCACAAAGTGTTGTTAATAAAAATATATACCGTGTATACTTTGGATCTCACAACGATAGGACGTTTTATTTTTTTAAAATGTGTATGGTTGTAATATTTTTCGCTCAGTGATAATATTTTTTAAATTAAAAGAAGTCATATTTTTATTTTTTTCCTAAAGTCTTTGTAAAGGGTGGATGTCACAAAGTCAAAATTTTTGCTGGATGTCACATGATACGCTGGTCGAGTATATATATATATATATATATATATATATATATATATATATATATATATATATATATATATATATACAAGCTGCTATATTTCAAGCTTTTTTATGCAAAACGATATACCTATGTGAATACTTTATTCCCTATACTGTGCATGTTCAAAACTAGATATTATGACAATTATGAGTATTTAAAAGTGGACAAAATCAGATAAATATATATACCTATTGCTTACTTTTTTTTATATTTTTCAATTTATCTGGATTTGCCATCTAACTACAGAATTATGCTGTAACGTTAGAATATTATAAAAAAAACCTCTTAAAAATGACAAAGTTGTCCATCGTATAAAAATATTCACTTCTCTAGTAATTTTGTCAAGAATCTTTATCATCTTCCAGGAAAAGCTGGTATTCCATTTCCGATTTTTATTAAAATTCAAATAAAAGAAACACAAATAGAAAGTTCCAAATATACTGACAAAACATTGAAATCTTTTTGACGTAAGAAAATCACGATTAGATAATTTGATCAACCGATGTCGACGGATTAGAATAAATTCGGATTAAGAATGATTTGTATTACGGTGCATCGCTAAAAATGGTACTAAACGCGATTAAACCCTTTAATCTGGAACGTGATCTGGAATAAACGTGTACGGTGCATACGGGCGTTAATCGAGATTTTCTAACGTCATAAATATGTCAAACGTTTTGTCAGTATATTTGGAACTTTCTATTTGGGTTTCTTTTTAGTTTATTTGAATTTTATTAAAAAACGGAAATAGAATACCAGCTTATCTTGGAAGATGACAAAGATTCTAGATAAAATTACTAGAGAAGTGATTATTTTTATGAGATGGACAACTTTGTCATTTTTAAGAGATGTTTTATTTTCTAACGTTACAGCTCAATTCTTTAGTTAGATGGCAAATCCAGACATGTTAAAAATATTTATGTGATTCTGTACACTTTTAAATACTGAAAATATGTCATCCATATAGTTTTGAACATGCACAGTGTAGGAAAAGTATATCGTTTTGTATAGAAAAGCTTGAAATACAGCAGTTTGTATGTATATATGATAAAATTACCAAAAATGAACATAATGGTTTTGCCATTCAACTATAGAATTATTTTTTTTTAAATTCATTTGACAATTCTTTTTCACCCTGCGTAAAATTCTGTATGCGTCACAAAATACATGTTTTACGATTTTGGTACATTAAAAAAAAAATAGGGATTCTGTCTTTAACGGCCTTTGACATACATTTCTCCTATTCAAATCTAAAGTTGTCTTCTTCTCTTTTTTGTGAAATTTATAAAAATACAGTGTTGTCAGATTACTAAACTAGATTACCTAATCCGTAGCCGGTGCATAGAAAATAACCACTAGTCATTTAAACGAGATTTGTAAATCTGGATTAAATTTTAAAACGGTGCATTTCAAAGAATATTTCCTGAAAGTTTTAGCATTGTAGAAACACGTTAATTTCAACAATTAGGCATTCCAACGACCTGTCCAAATGGCTACCAGTGGGTAATGACAGTTTAGATATGGCAACCCTGTAGTCATGTTGTCATTGGCTGTGTTCATCCGCGCCACATGCTACCTGATCGATCTGGTAGCGCTCTCGAGTGGCACGTATGAACGGTGTATTTTGACATTTCGCTCAAGGAGCAGCCGCCATTAAAAGTAGCGCATTTTATTTACGTCTGATCGGTGATCACTGATCTGTCTTACGCACTTACGTCCACGGTTTGCTTGGTGACTAGTAGGGTTATATTACCATATTAGCAATTGAAAAATAAACAAACAAATCTTCAACCAGAGACATTCAACTCAAAAGTAAAATGAATAAACCAAAATCAAATGTCACTTTTAAACATGGTTCATCCGTGCATAAAGATCGATCAGGTAGCGTAAGTGATCGCTACTTTTGTAGCGCTCCTTGAAATGGCGCGGATGAACGCAGCCATTAACAGGGTCAATGATACATATATAGATTGCTCAAAGCTGGTCGTTTACGAGCGGCCATATTGCCTAGCAAATATTTATTAATTTGAATCGGTTTAGCAAAAATGTGTTTTAAAACCAATTTTTAGCCTTTAGATATTTAAAAAAAAATAATTGCTTACATTTTTACTTCAAGGCATAAGCTTATGTTTATTTTGAAAAATATGGATGATCAATCTATGTAACTATCTATTTCATTGACCTTGTCAAATCACCAGGCCTACAGGGTTGCCATAATTTTTCCATATCATAACCCGTCAAAACCACTGATCTGTAAATACAGATCAGTGGTCAAAACCCACTGGTAGCCATTCAGTTTGGAATGCCTAATTCTTTAGACAATTTCAAAATTTTAATTATAGGTGTCGCAGCCGCGGAATCCCTACCACGTCATTATTTCCTCATTCAACTGGTATTTTAAATCTACAAATGTTCAGTTTTGGTGATTTTCTCTCTATCCGTGAATAATCGAATACAGACAAACATACACACACTCACGTACAAAGACAGACATCGCAAAATTGGTCAAATCGGATTCAGCATCCCCAAAAGATAAAGATTCATCAAAAACTCGAGGTCGAAAAAATTATGATTACTATAATTATTTCCTCAGTGGATACAGGAAAATGTTTATTAGAAAAATTAATTTTTATTCTGCTATTCAAAAATTGCAAATGTACATACTGCCTTTCTTATGGAATAACTATTAAAAAAATATGTATATTACCGGCTTTGTCAGCTTAGCATGTTAGACTAGAAACCGTTGTCGGACATATAGACACATCCACGTCGTGTTAAATGATAATTAAACGTTTACACAGTAGTAATATGAGGCCTATTTAAAATTATCCAATTAATTATGACTTTATTTTAATAATATTTCCAATTATAATGTTTGTTTTAGCATCAGAGTTATGTTTCTGGTTGATTTTAATGTAAGGTATATTTAAAAAATTAATATTACTTAGATTTAGTTTAATGTTTGAAGGTGTCGTATGAACACGTGTAAACGTAGCAACTTCGAATTGTCAAATTCCGAGAACGTCGTTCCGTCGTTGGAAGAAGAGTGGAGGAAAAATGTGATGTGTACAAAATTTTCTTCCACGTCGAAACCAACATCGTTAGAAAGTCACAAAAGTTGGCCCGGTTGTTTCAAGTGCAACCACGAAACCACATATTTGTATAGTTAGGCTGTGAGAGTTTTTATTTAAATAAACATGAACAAATTGATATTTTTCGCTTTGCTGCTCTTCCCAGCAATAATTTTCATTTTCGAAAATGGTAAGTACCTTTTTGTAAATTTAAAAGCACTTTCTGGAGAGTTTTTTTTTAACATATCTTTTGCGCCTAAATCTGAATGAAACATTAATTTAGTTATCAAAATCGTAACTTTAATTGAAGAAAACATGTACTAATACAGTTTTGCAATAAAATTAGGTTAGTTAGACCCATCTACTTACCTAACTTACTTTTATTTTTAGGAAAAATGGTCTCATATGCCGAAGAGGATCCTCTAGAGGATGAAATTGAAGTGGAAGGTGAAGGAGATGTAGAAGAAGTTGCAGGGGTTGAAGAAGAGGAAGAGGTAACCTCTACAGCTTCACCATATGCTGATACAACGCTCTTATTTGTGAAACCAGAGACTACAGGAGCTACCCAATTAGGTTTGTATGCAAATTTGATCAATTATGCCATATTTTAATGATATCCTATGTATTTTATATTGTAATATTTAAAATGGATGGTATGTATCAGTTTCCTGTGTGAATCGAACATCTTGTGTTAGTTAAAGGCTTGTACAATTATTTTAATAGTCATATTAGGTGGTATCTATATCCCTTACTAATGTGATATATTCACTTGTAATATTTATTTTTTCAGTGTATGTTGTAAAAGTTTTGATTGCTTATTTAGATTTAAAATTAAATGCTTAGATTGGATCAAAAATTATTTGTTTTTGTTGGAATACTATTTTTTGTCTATATCAGTTATAAAAACTGTAATAGATACTCAAATAATTGTTTTCATAAGTACTTGTTTTAGTCTACAATTTATAGTCCTATGACTAATTCTAATATAACAACAAAATACTGAAATTTTACAGGAGATAAAAACTGTTTATTTTATTATCAATACTAAATTGATGTTCCAGATATGACATATTAGAGTTTAGAGTATGAACAAAAATAATTTCTTGGTAAAATATATATTAAGTATTATGAGAACAATTATAATTAATCCAATGATATTTGTGTTTGTCTAGTTAGGACCTATTTTGTACAAATATTTTATTTATATTTAATAATTATTTAAATAATCTTGCACATGATTGCAATTTAAAACAAATTGTCGACATAATTAAACAAAGTTTTATGTACAGGATGTTATTTAAATAATTAATTAGAATTTGGAAAAAATGTGAATTTATACGAAGCGTGACAATATCAAAAACACAATTTTTAAAAAACTATTTGGACATCTCTTTTTATGGTGTCTCCAAATTTGAAAGTCATTCAATATCTAGTTCTAAACTGGTGAGGTATGTGTCAATTTCTTAAAAATATTTTTTATTTTAACTTCCCATTTTAAAACCGATCAAGATTTTTATAGATGGTCTTTAAAAATCCATTATTATTATTATTGTTTCATATATATCCAAATTTGAATGTCATGCAATGACAAGTTTTGATGAGGTTTTACAGGCAACTAAGCCAATTTTAGTCTAAGATCCGAATTAAGGTCGACCTTCGCCCATCTGTTTAATGGATGAAAGTTTCTTTTAATTAAATAAAATATGTTCATAAATATACCACAAATGGGTTGCCTTAGAAAATACAGTCCAGACTATTTATTTTCTTAAAGTAAAAAAAAATGACACCCTGTAAAGTATTCTCCAGATGCTTCGACTATGCCCAAACTTTATTCAGCTCACCGCAGAGTGGATTAAAGCTTAAATTTAAAATTTGGTGTTTTTCTCTTCATCCGTTTTTGAGTTATATTCGAAATTTGCACTTTTCCTTAAATATCTTGAATTAGGTCCATTTTAGGGAAATCGTGTAAGAGAACAAAATAATAGAGAATGACATCATAAGCAACTTTTATAATGATTCCTGTGCTTTCCTTATCTATACACAGAAAGAAAAGTAAAAAATTGCCGTGACCGTATTTTCTTAGGCTACCCATTTGCAGTATATTTAAAAACATATTTAATAAAAAAAAAACTTTTATCAATTTAACAGATAGGTGAAGGTCGATCTTACTTATGGATCCTGAACTATTTGGTGAATGATTAACATCTATTATAAATAGGTCCAAGGACTGATCCTTGTGGGACACAAGTATTCATCTGGTTGATATAATATGTTGTACTGTGAAATAGAGTTAAACACCTTAGTTAGGACACTTATGATATCTAAGTGGACCCAATACATCAAAAACTGAGAATAGTATAGTGAAATTAGCACATTATAATGTTTCGTTTCCAGAAATCCCTGCAGGCTTCCCTGTCGAATTCCTAGTGGGTTTCCGTAACAAGGGCGACCAAGAGTTCACCGTCGACACCTTAGAAGCCTCATTCCGCTACCCCATGGACTTTAATTTCTTCATTCAAAATTTCTCGGCCATCGGTTACAACAAAATCGTTCTGCCGGACCAGGAGGCCACCTTACACTACAGTTTTTTACCATCAGAAGCATTCGCCGGTAGACCATTTGGACTGAACATCCTTTTGAACTACCACGACGGTGCTGGAAACTTTTTCCAAGAGGCCGTCTTCAATGAAACCATACAAGTCGTTGAATTGGAGGAAGGTGAGTGTTTATTTGATCTCTTGTAATATTTTGTTTGTAGGTTTTCAATATGAAGAAAACTTTGTAATATTGTTTTTATGACATTTATATCCTTTTTCGTCATAAAAATGTCAACTATCTTTTAAATTTTGACAGGTTGTATTGACTTATGACTTTGTTGACAACTGACATTGTTTAATGACCTTTGATAATGTCAGTTTTCAGGTGCTGAAGTTAGAATTTCAGAATTTAATAAAGAAAAATCACTAAAATATTTTTGTATTTTTAGTTAATATTTATAATCAGAATAAGGCAATTGTAAAATGTTTATAGTTTAAATCGCTTAAATGTTATACGTTAGGTACTCTTAAATAATTTTTAGACACTATACAATTTTTGTCACTCTTATGGCCAGTTTCTCGTACATTTTGTTATTTATTTATTTATTTATTTTGTTTGGAACACAAACAGGACATACCCAAAAAAGTGTTCCCCATGCTTCTTACATAGTGGGTTTAAACTAAACAACTTTAACCTAATTAATAAAAAAATATTATTATACTAGATACGAAATAAATGTGAAATAAGAAATAAGAGAACAGAAAAAATACTAAAGTTATTGCATTATAACAGAAATTCAAAAATTTTACATTAAAAAATATGTCGTAATTTAAGATTTTAAGGTACACTAGACAAAAAGTGTTTTTTTAAGCAATTTTTGAATGCACTTTCGGAAATAGAAAAAATATCAACTTCTAGTACGTTCATTATTGTGTCGAGAGTTTTAATACACCTATGTAAAGGAGAATTTTTAAAGTAATTAGTATTACTTGTATCTGAGTAAAACAAATAGTTATTGAAAGAATAACTATTACTCCATAGTTCTTAGTCATTTAACTAGGTTTGACATATGCTCACTAGATAGACTTATACAATTCTCACAGTTCTCTAGTAGATAAAGAACAATTTAACTGAGTCGTAGGATGAATATGGTCGTTAATTAATTTAACCAAGTATGTTTGGTAAATCTAAAACGGTCTCTAAATTCGTTGTAACTATATTCTTCAAATGGATCATTTCTAACATGAAAATGGCGAACAACGTCTATCATTTGAATAACTGCTAATATTTCTTCATCAGAAGAATCCGAAGAGCTTGAATAATCCATTGTTTTGAGTTTAATTTGTTATTTTTCTGGTATTTGAGAAACAATAATTTATTTGAAATGTCACATTATGAAAATTTTTGAGATCATGTAGATTTAGACTTTAAATATTGTTTGCAATTATGCGTGCTCCTAAATAATCTTTTATGACCATTTATCAATATGTACTAATTTTAAACTGGTCACTTAGACACTTGTAGACCATGTTTAGAAAAGATTTACTGATTTTCTAACAATTTTAAGTAACTATGCTGCATTTGAACTTATTAATTTGTACCAATCTTAGATTGGTTTAAACTATTTTAGACCCTCTCATATCATATTTGGATAGTATTTAGAAAGTTTTCAAGCCTTTTTGCTACTATAGACGCTGATGATGGTCTATAACACATTTCTGCTGAATTCGGAATCTTAATGGACTTATTGATAATCTCTTCTGACAAATGCAAACCCTAAAAATTGAATTACTGAATTAGTCTTTGTTTTACAAGTATCTCAGGATTCACAGGTTCCTTTCGTAGTACCAAAAATTTAGAAGGAATTAAATTTAAAAAATAAACTTACCTTACCAAATCTTTTATATTTCTTTCTAATTTCCTTATCCTTAATCAATGTTTGATGGTTTAAAAGTTCAGTTTTTTTACTCTTACTATAAAAAAATATACAGGGTGTTCCGCATAATTACCGACACAGAACAGGTGCGTGTTGGACGCAATTTTACTTTATAACAAGTTGTACCTGAGGGGCGAATCACTCCCGCAATACATGTACAAAATGTCCGAAATCCCATTGAAAATCGCGGCAGTCCCATTAAAATCAGCGGCAATCGCTAAGAAATCGTCGCAGTCGTTCAGAATTCCCTCGCAGTCTGCCCGAAATCTCCCACAGTCGCTGAGCTATCACTAGCAATCATTAAAAAACGCGCGCAGTCAGTTGACATTTCACCCATTCGCCATTGTGCTTTGACTAGGCCAACTAAGCCATCTTGGATAAAATTAAACAAATTGCATTTACGTTTATCGAAATTATCGTTCCATAAATTATTAATTTTAAAATACCATTTTTGGCAAAGTTCATCAAATTTCTGATCTGATCTGATAGAAGATACTTTCAAGGTGGTCCAGAATTGTCTATTTCACCAGAATTTTTTTTAATACATAATAAAATTGTTTGTATATTATAGGGGGTCATACACGTTTTAATTAGGGTTTTAAATGTATTTTATTTAAAAAGGAATTAATTTATTGACAGAATACATTTTTTACTTTCCTGTCTGTACAGATAAGGAAAGTATAGGAATCATGATTTTTTTGAAGGATTTTTACGTTTTGGGCTTAATAGATCCAAGTAGCTGTTACCCGATGAGTTTCTTAGCGAGGTCCAATGTTGAGGACTGTACTAAATTAAGTTCATTAGATATTAAGGTTTGCTTTGTTTTTAAATTTCTTGTTGTTACTTAACTCTACATTACTATTAATTTTGTATAGGGTTTGTAAAGTATCCAATAAATAAATATATGTTATTTACACTTGAAGAAGAAAATTCTTCTATAATTTTTGTCCCATACATGATTTTCCTAAAATGGACCGTATTCTATATATTTGAGGAAAATTGCAAATTTTGAATTTGGAAAATACTCAAAAACGGATAAAGAGAAAAACACAAAATTTTAAACTTAGGCCTTAATAAATCCTGCAGTGAGCTGATTAAATTTTGGGCATAGTCGAAGATCTGAGGGGAGGGGGTACTTTTGAGGGTGTCGTTTTTTTTAATTAATACTATCTCTGTTATTTACGATTGGTGAAAAAAATTCTTCAAATAAAAGTTGTTATCATTCTCCAAAATGTTTGTTTTATATATGATATATCTTTAAAATGGACCGTAATAAAAATATTTGGAGTAAGATGTGTATGGAAAATCACTAAACATTTACAGGGGTGATACAGTAGGTTGTACAAATTAACCGGAAAAAGCTTGTAATAACTAGAAAAAAAAGTCATGTGTTGGACACATCAGATTTTTATGTAAAAAAGCGCAAACAATTATTTTTTGCAAAAATAGGCACAGAAACTATAGGGATAAAAACACACCCTGATTCGTCCCTTTAGTTTTAGAATAATAGTTGACAGGTGCAGTGTTACTATGAGTTTATTTAATTTAAGTAGATATGTTTAAATAAAAAGTTTATAAAGAGTGATCCACAATAGTAGTTTGTGTAACAAAAGTGGATATGATGGCCATATGTAATACGTATAATCCACTCAAGTTGTACAGTATATTTTTTTACGACCCACTAACAAAAATTTACAAAAATTTTAAAATTTATTTAGAGATAATTAAAATAAAATGACTATTTTTTAAATAGTTGATGACTTTCAATAATTTATTAAATAAAATAAACTTTAAAAAACAAAAACCAAAACAAAAATAAAATTTTAATTTACGATATAAGTAGGTATTTGTAAATATACTCGAATATCTTGTGACATGCTTTTATTTACCGATTCTTCACAAGCATCATTCATTTTTAATTACAGTTAATCTCAATAACAAAAAAATATATTGACAATTAGTTTGACAGAATTGTGACTTATTTAACATTAAAAAATAAAGTTAATTTAATAAAACAAATTTCACGTTGGTTTCACATCTTATACAAACTTTAGTTTTTCTTCTTCTTTTGAAAAAATAGTGGCAATCCATACGGAAATCGCCGCAGTCAATGCATAAATCAGCGCAGTCACGAAAAATCTATTGAAGTCATGTGGAAATCACTGCAGTAACTAGAAATCTGTAAGAAGTCACATGGAAATCACCGCAGTCATCCAGAAATCGCCATATCATTGCGGAAAGCATGTGAATTCGGCAATACATGTACATTTTTACAAAGAGTGATTCGCCCCTCGTTTGTACCCCTAAGGAGTTCAGAGACCTAAAGTGAAGTCATTAATTTCGAAAAAATTGAATATCTCTGCATCCTGTTTAACTTAAAAAATATATATTTGGTAAATTATTTAGGCGCTTCATGGGTCTTAATTTGGGAGTGGCTAAGAATTAAAGTTTTTAAGTGGTGGTTTTGGGGTAACCATAATGACAAAAAGTTCTGTATAGTTATAAGTGTGGGTTACCCCAAAACCACCCCTTAAAATATCTTACTTAATTCTCATTCCCACCCCCAAATTAAGACTCGTGAAGTGCCTAAATAATTTACCATATATAGATTTTTTAAGTTAAACGGTTGCAGAGATATTTAAGTTTTGTGTAGAAAACCCTGTATAATATATTAAATAATTGTATATTCTAATGATACGCTGTTGCTGTCTTTCTCGTTCCAGAATTCTAATCTCTATCTGTTATCTGTCCCTCTGCTCACGTTGTCTACTCTTAGTTTGCTTCAGCTCTCGTCCTAATTTTCTCCTAACACTTCTGCTAAGTTGATAAATAAAATACTCTTTACCTTGTATTTATATTCTTTATTTTCGATACATTATTTACTATATATCTCTTTCCATTTCTAACAATTTCCAATCTTAAAAATCCTTTGTGACAAAACATTTTTTTAAGCATATTGATCCCTCCAAACAATTTCTAATTTCAGACCATTACCCATCAAACATTGATTAATCAAATTTGACAAAAATCATATTTATCAAAATCCCTCAAATTTTGTATTCAACTAATTTATTACCAAAAATAAATTACTGAATACCAAACAAAGTTCAAATATCGCATCAAAAACAAATTTACCAATTTTCCTTTCCTGTTCCATCCAAATGGGCCCGTTCACTTTCATTTTTGAATGTGAATTATTTATATATTTATAAAGATATTAAACTCTTTTGTCTGGTGGTACTTTTCCCGTTAAGATATTTTTGCTAGAAGTAAGGGAATTCCCATAAAATTCTTTCAGTGACTCATTGCGTCAGAAAACCCCTAATTCCCTTCAGGTCTTGCATCGGTTAATAGTTAAAAGGGCGCGGTTGTCGGATGTATCATTGCACCACCATTCCTCTTCTGCATTTATTAAAGAAATTTACATGATAAAAATATATTATTTTTTAAAAATAATGTGTTTATATTTTTAGATAAAGCTGGAAGCCTTACCTTTTTTAAATTTTAATAAAAACAATTAGTATTACTCAAGCTGAATATTACCAGATCGAAATTTTATTTAAGAAAATGTATCTGGTAAACGTGACAACGTTGTAAGTACTTCTAAATAGTGATGTCTAGACACACTTCTAGAAATAAATGCAACGTTGCCACGTTTACCAGATAAATATTGCAAATCAAATTTCTACTTTTTGATTATGTTCTGGTTAATTTTCAGCCTGAGTAATAATAATAATTGTTTTAATTAAAAAGTAAAAAATAAGCTCCCAGATTTAAATCTGAAAATATAAGTTCATGATTTTTAGAAAAATAATGGAATTTTACTATTTAAATTACATATATAAATGCAGAAATGCTATATTAGGGATACTTCCGACAACCTCGCCGTCTTTAAGCATAACCGATACGAGACGTGAACGGAATTAGGGATTTTCTGACGCAATGAGTCACTGAAAGAATTTTATGGGAATTCCCTTACTTCTAGCAAGAATATCTTAACGGGAAAAGTACCACCAAACAAAAGAGTTTAATATCTTTATAAATATATAATTAATTCACATTCAAAAATGAAAGTGAACGGGCCCATTATTGATATGATGTACCACACATATTCCACCTCATCATTCTTCATCATCATAAATATAAAACAAATAAATACATACATACATCTAACAATATACTATGCAAATTGAACCAATTCAGTTATTCAACTATATTTCTAAACAATTTAAATTATAATAATAAAATAAAATTAATTTAATTACAACATCTAAATAACCTACATTGATGATAATAATAATGAAACTTTTATTTACAAATTTTATTTTTTTATTCAACCTTCAACTTTTTTTTATTGTTTCAATTTATTTTATATCAACTATTTTCTTCAAACTGTAATAAAATTTTATATTTTTTCCCATTTGTGCAAATGTTCTTCATTTCCTAACTTTGTCTCTATTCAGAAACCATTTCCTTTCATAATTACTTTTAATCCATTTTCACATGTTCAACATATTTCTCTTCATAGTCATATGTATTCATTATAAATCATCATAAATAATTATTTTCATACCCAATACTTACTTTATAAATATTTCATATCCTTATTTCATTTATAGTCCCTCATCTGACTGCAAAAAGTGACAAATAGTGTTTTTTGCTTGCTACTTGTAGTTGGATACAGGAGAGGGGGTGAACAACATGTAATATGTCCCAATGGTGGGAGCTGTCATGTATCCTACAAATTCAAAGCAAGCTTGCCTATCGGATGGATTTTTCGTTTTTCGATGACAATGAAATAATATGCTTCTGAACGTCTAAAACGATAAAAAAATTCTTTTCAAGCACTTTTTGGCATATAGTGTAGGGATTTCGCTACATTGGAAATAGATTACAGAAAATGTTTGCAAAGGGATTTTTTTTATTGTTATAGTAAATTATTTCATTGCTAGTAAAAAAAATCCATCAATAAGCAACATTATTTTGAATTTCACAGGTTACAAGACAGCTCCCACCACTGGCACATGTTGTTCGCCCTCCCAATTAAAAAATAGCAAGCAAAAAACACTACATACCACTTTTTGAAGTCAGATGAGGGACTTTTTTTCTCCCATTTAAACCATTTTCTTTCAGAACCATTTTACATTATTCACATTCTTGCAATTCGTCTTTCAAAATAATCTCTTCTTGAACACAAATTATATTCTTCCTTCGTTTGAATATATTATCCCTTATTTCTCATTTCTCTAAAATACCTATAATCACTATCTTTTATTCTTTTAATTTAAATTTCTACATATATTCCCTAATTTACTTCACTTATGTGCTATTTAGCTATCCTTTATACTATTTTCAATTCATTTTCCATTTACTGTTCTTCTTTCTATTTTAAAATTTTTCCATCCCTATTTTAAATGTATAATTTTCTTTCATTTTAGTCCTAATTATTTCTTTTTCCGATAATCTTCTATTTTTCACCTGCCATATATTGTCAATATTTCGTTTTGGCACTAACTTTATTTTTTATACTTTTATATTTTTACTTTTATTTCCTGTTTTTCTTTATCTTCTTACTTTTATTTCCTGTTTTCCTTTATCTTCTTACTTTTTTATTAAATTATTTTTTTGTTTATTTTGCTTTTATCTTCCTTATTGTATCTTCTTTAATTGTTCTCTTCTCTGACGCTGTCTTTCTCATTCCAAACTTTTATTCTCTATCTGTTATCTGTCCCTCTGCTGCTCACGATGTCTATCTATTCTTAGTTTGATTCACTCTTCCTCCTAATTTGTTTCTAACGCTTCTGCTGTCTCTATAATTATTCTTTTTACCTGGTTTTTATATTGTTTATTTCTTAAAAATCTTTCTGACAAAACCCTTTAAACCTTTTAAAATTCCCCATCTGACATTTCTTTTCAAAGTCATCGATCTTTCCAATTTATAATTTCAGATCCATCAAACATTGATTAACCCATTTTCCAAAAAATAAAATACATCATTAAATTTTAATTTTGAACACAAATATACCATATCAATATTATTTTCTTGTGTGTAGGTTTGGACGGTGAAACGTTCTTCCTCTACGTCTTCTTAGCTGCTGGAGTAGTTTTGTTGCTGGTTATTGGACAGCAAACCCTTTTATCAGTGGGAAAGAAACGCAGTAGCAGTAGTAGCGGAAGCAGCAGCAGGAAATCTGCACCAGTAGAGACTGGAACCAGTAATCCCAACAACGTAGATTATGATTGGCTCCCTAAACAGACTCTAGCTAATTTAAGTAAGTTCTTCAATTTTTGGCGCATGTCTGTACTAATACAATTTAAATTATAGATAAGGAAAAACTATCGAAATCGCCAAAGAGCAAACCAGTAAGTCCACGACAAAGGAAAGTGAAACGTACCACGGGTTCGGAATAAAATTTAGGGATCAGTGACTGAATTTTTTTCATTTCATCATTTATTTCTATTTCATCCGAATAAAAGACCATTCATCTGAAGTTTGCTTGCAATTTTTTTCTCGAGAAATTCGTTAAGCTGGCCATTTTTTGTCTTCTTAAGAAAGGAACTGAATATGACACTTTATGAGGTATTTAAACGTAAATGATTAAATTTTAACACTTCTGTAAATAAACCTTCGTTTTGCGACATTTTAATGAGAAATGTCAATTGTCTGTCAAAATAGTTAAGGATTGATGACTACTCAAAAAAAAAAATTTTTTATTTACATCGACCAGTTGTCAAATTTTGAAGTTATTGTCAGTTTTTTTAAACTTATTTATTTGTTTTGTTATTTATATTACTTGAATAGAGAAATTCTGACTGGTGACATCAGTTTTTGACAGTTGTAATAAAATGTTTCCTTTTATTTTGTTTAAAAAATAAAATTATGAATTGTATGTCAAATTTCAACAACTAGGCATGGAATTATGAAAGTTTTGAAAATGATACAGCTAAATGACAATTTTGACTGTAAATTTTCATTTAACTATCTCATAGTTTATTGATATTTTTTGAAAAATGGTCAGTTGTTTTGAATTTTCGATTTATTTATGGATTTTTATATTATTTTTTTCGATGTGTTGTGAATTTTCCTCAGTTGTTATATATTTGCAATAAATTAATATAATATATTATGATATCGATTATTCAAATTACACCATAATGGTGCTTCAGAAAACTATTAAAGCGTAATTTGATTTGTAATTGTGTTTTTTTTTTTAACTTTTTCCTATTTATTCGCCTCTTTTTCTAAGATATATTTAATGAATTTATAGGGGATGGGTTGGCTCAGTGATTAGAGTCCAGCTTTTTTGAATTTGAAGGGATCAGGTTCGAATCACACTGGTGGCACATATTGTTATTTAATTTAATAAATAATAAGTTTAATGCATAGGTAGGATTCCCCACTTGACCATTCACTTTTGGATTCTAGTTAACTGATGATTCTAAAGTGGCGCTGAGAAACAGTAACAACACTAACACAGAACACGAGGTTAATAACCTAAGTAGTTGATGCCAATAATAACATCAAACTAAAAAATTAAATAGAATGATACGTTTTATAGGCAACCAATTCAGCACTGTCCTGTATTCTTTGTTGCCTAACCATTTTAATGGGAACTTATTCTGTCTATACGTTTTATTTTATTTTTTCATTGGGTAATAAAACATTTTTTAAATGGGAGAGGACTATGCTTATATCCACAATGTGGTTCGATCGTTCCTTCTGCAGAGCCGGATTACCCCATAGGCTATAGCTTTCGGGCCCAAGACTTGCGGGGGCCTTTGAACTATTTAAATCGATAAATAAAATAAAAGAAAACTGAGAAACTAGCCTACTATTTATTCAATGTTATATAGTATTTAATATGGGGTACAACAAAGAAGATTGGCAGAAATTTCAATGGAAATTATTTAGGACTTTTGTAGTTATTAAAACAATTTCATAATTTTTAGTATATATAGATGTACATTATAGTTTAGTTTCCTTAGTATGTCAGTAGTTATCATATTATGTCCAGGTACTGCAGTTTTACTGTTGTGTACAATCTCGAAGTAGGCTTATTCCTCGATTTTCCAGGTCGGCCTAAATCATCAATACTTTCCCCAGAATGGAAACACGCAATATTAATAGCCATCCCTAAACCTAATACCCAGCATAAGGAAGTTGAAAACTACAGACCAATAAGTCTCCTCCCTGCAATTGGAAAACAATTAAAAAATGTGGGAATAAGATACCGAAATACCAATTCGGTTTTGTAGAAAGAAGGTCAACCACCCCTCCAATCACAATCCTAACATCAAAGGCACAAACATCTAACCTATGTGGAGAAAAAAGTGCAACAGTGTTCTTGGACATAAATAAAGCCTTTGATAGTGTATGGCATAAAGGATTACTGTACAAGTTATGGCTAATGAGCGGTCCAATATTTATAATCTACCTGATCAACGACTTCTTGAGAGGAAGATCAATTGAGGTTAAGGTTTACGTTCGCCAATTCGGAATGTACGAAATGAAAATCTTACCTCGGAAGTGTAGTGCGGCAAGGGACGTTTGGGAGATAACAAGGTCCCGCCTACCGATACCTGCGCTTGTTATACTTTTGAAACCAGAGCCGCACTAGTCTACGTGGCGTAGGCCACAATTTGCAAATATTTATACAACTCATAATAAATATAACGTGGGCGTACAAAAAAAATCAACAAATTCCAAATATATACTTTTTAAAAAAGTAGATTTTAATATATTTTCAATATTTATTAGGGAGTGAAAAATAAAATAAAAATTAACAATTATTATTATTATTATTATTATTATTGAATTGACCGTAGATATGGACTTTGTTAATTTTTTGTTTTAATAAAATATAATCTATACTGGACTCAATCGCTTCAGTTACATGAATTTGCAAAAAATAGACGCCCACAATATATTGAAAGTGCGTAATTATATATTTAAAAATAAATATATATTGTAGGAATATAATTATACAGGGTGTTTATTAATTGAGTGACAATACTTAGGAATGTGAATCCTTGGGTGATGTCGTAAACCTCTTAATTTTTTAACTACAGGGTGTTACAGTATGAAAAGTTATTTTTTTCTTAAAACTGTAACACCCTGTAACTCAAAAATTAAGAGGATTACGGCATATATTAAATTACCCAAGGATTCACACCCCATAAGTATCGGCATTTAATTATTAACCTCCCTGTATAAGGATTTAACAACATTTAAATGCTTTTATGAATAAATGGAAGTAGAATTTATTATTTTTATTAAGAAAAATATAAACATAGCCTACAATCTAATCTTTTTCCATTGCAATGACATTTATAATCTAGCAGTCTACTAAGATTCCTCAAGTGCTGATTTCTTGAATATCGAGAATCTACAAGTTCTGGCAAAATACAATGAACATAAAACTTTTTAAGTTTATTCTCCATTTTGTTTTTCCAAAAAGTGTCGTCTTTGGGTATTTTCTCGGTTAATAAACCTTGTGGAGTCCATATGACAAATAAACAATATTCTCGGTTTGTCACTCGTAACTGGCTTTGTACTTGATAGTAATAGTTATTATTTTTTTTCAATTCCATAACTCCATCAGGTTTGATTACCGCAAATTTTATGAGCCCTTTTTCTATTCCCTCTTGTGGCGTATAATCTTTACTATTATACGGACATTTTATTTCTATTAGACCATCTTCTTCTATTAGGCCATCCGGACTTGCGGCAATAAAAGGCAAGGTTTTATCAATAAAAAGACCACACTTTTTAATGTCTTTCCCAATACTCTGAGCCACAGTTTTTGTTGCTACATCTTCATTGGATTTCCCATACTTGGTGGCTGTATTTCCCTTAAAAGGTTTGTACAATATGTTTATGACATTATTTTCGCAATTTGTGTCTTCTCGCATTTTGCTTATTGCTCCATGCCATGAAGCTGTTAGACGTATTCTTCGTTCAGCATACCAAAGTGCACAATTTTGTTCTATCGTAGCTTGTTCCAAATCGTTTATTTCTGATTGTGTTTTATCTAGTTTCTTCAAAAACGCATGCATCTTTTCTTCCAATTCTAACAGCGAAATATCGGAAATATTAGAACATCCATAGTCTAATTCTTCTTTATTACCCTTTTTTGATCGTTTTTCATACCTCTTGTAGGTTTTTAGTCTCTTTACCGTCATCTCATTTTCTTTGATCTTTTTTTTTATATATTTCATCGTGTAAGTTCCAGTTGGCTTCCCTTATCTTATTTTGCAACATTTCATGTAAAGTTCTTCCGTCATTAACACTTTTAACAGCAGCATGGCATCTTGCATTGTAAGATCCTCTGGAACAGTAGGATATACGCTTCCCACCTATGTACTTTGCAACGACAGCATTAAAATTTTCTGCGAAATTTGTGCTGACGTCATAAATAAGGCTGTAGCTTCCCAGATAGCACAGATACGTCTTATGGACGTTCTAAAAACGTCCTGCTTGGACATTCAGGACATCCTTAAAACGTCCATTTCACGGCCGTGGACGTCTTATGGACGTATTTGGAACGTCCATTGTTAATAATCAGGATGTCTTAAGAACGTCCATTTAAGGACATTCTATGGACATTTTCAAAAGCTCAAATGGGGAATAATAAGATGTAAGGAAATTAGTGAAAATAATGAATAATTTAAAAAAATTTATTTGGAAGCAAATAACCTATAAATAGTGAAATTATTAAAACTTTTTCGTCAAATTCATCCCATCTCTCCTCTACTTTGCTCTTATCAATCATGCCTGGATTGAAAGCAGTTCTTTTTTTTTCTTCTTGATTTGGCCATATTTGCCTTCCCAGTTGAACCTGAAAATAGGAATCTGTTTGTTTAAGTTTGCCTTGCTAGACAGTATGAATTCACTAACCTTTTAGCTTTGTAGTATTCACTGGAAAACTCCTCTACTTTGCACTTTTCAACCATGCCTGCATTGACATCAGTTTTTTTTTCTTGATTTAGTCATATTTGCCTTCTCAGTTAAACCTGAAAATAATTTAATCGCTTATTCAAAATAAAAGGCAGATCAATATGAAAATCCAATCTGTTGGTTTAAGTTTGCCCTGCTAGACATTATGTATTCACTAACCTTTTCGCTATGTAGTATTCACTTAAAAACTCCTCTACTTTGCTCTTTTCAACCATGCCTGGATTGACCGCAGTCAGTTTTTATCTTGATTTGGTTATAATTGCCTTCTCAACTGAATCTGAAAATAATTTAATCGCTTATTCAAAATAAAAGGCATATCAAAATTAAAATCTAATCTGTTTGTTTCAGTTTGCCTTGCTAGACATTATAAATTCACTAACCTTTTAGCTTTGAAAAACTTTCACCTTTCTCAGATATAAAAATGGTACAAATGGCGGAATGATAGAACTTATACTCGTATAATATGTATATACCATCGAATCATGAACATTGAACACTTTTTTTTAATAAAACCTGAGCCCTGGGAATATTTCACTTCAGTGCTTGAATCTGAATCATATCTTAATAAATAAAAATAAAAAGTCACTTGTCAATAATGTCACTTTCTTGCAAAAGATCTTCTTCGTTTTTGTCTATTTCGCCTTCATTCAATTGGATATTGGGACAATGCCATCTTTAATAATTATTTATATTCTCATTTATATATGTTTTTTGTATAATATAACCAAATAATAATACAATGCGAATGTGAATCCATGGAAATATAGTAAAGTACGTACAATTCACGTTTTGCGGATATCTATTTCTTGACGTCCAGAGGATTTACTAAACTGGACATACTTAAAACGTCCATAATAGGTCCCGGATGTACAGACGTTAAATGGACATGTATTGGACGTCCTTAGGACGTCCTGTGCTATCTGGGTTTGGTCTGCAAAGTTTTGTAATTCTTTACAAATATCAATCCAAAGTCCATTTTCTTTTAAAGTGTTAATTATTGTATTGTCTGATGGGTTATTGCCAGAACAAAAATATTGGTCACAATTTGTGTGATTACCGAAAACATGTTTTGGTGTGTTTAAAACATCTTTTTTTATTCTTTTTATTTTGTATTGAAACGCAATATCAGGTTCATTTTTTCTATATCTTATAGCTTGTCTTATTGCAGCTTCTATTCTGCAAATGTTCCGTTCCAAAATTTTTCTGTCTGCTACTGGAACAGGTCCTACATTGTTATTAC